AAAAAAAAAAAATTATAGATTCAGGATACAAGTCTTTCTATTTTGGTTAAATGTATTGCTAAGAATTTGTCTTTTGATGCTATTCCATACATAATTTTAATGTTGTTTTCAAATTGCTAGCATATGGAAACATCATTTTTAAGACTGATCTGTGTCCTGCAAATTACTTATTTGTTTGTAAGTTGTTTATGTAGTAATTTTTTCAAAGATTTGCTTATGTATTTGAAAATCAGAGTTACACAGAGAGATTGACACACACACACACATTCACACACACACACAAACACACACACACACACAGAGGGTGAGGAAAAGAGGGAGAGAAAGAACAGGAACCCTCCATCTGCCAGCTCACTCCCAAGGTGATCCCAACACCTGCAATTGTGCCAGGCTGAACCTAGGAGCCTCTTCCAGGTCTCCCACACGAGTGGCAGGGGCCCAAGGACTCGGGCCACCACCTTCTGCCTTCCCCAGGCCATTAACAGGGAGCTCAATCAGACACAAAGCATCTGGAACTCTAAATAGCGCCCACGCACAGCAGACAGGCACCACAGGCAGCGGCTTAACAGCCAAAACTGTTGCAACAGCCCGTCCGTCAGAGTCCTCACAGTTCTCCGCGTGTAAGATAACCACGCCATCTACATGTAGTTTTACTTCTTCCTTTCAAAGTTTCGCTGACTAGCACCTCCAGTGCAACACTGAGCAGAAGATGTGACGGCAACAACGCCTGCTTTGCTCTTCGCCTCAGGGAGAAAGCTTTCCACCTGTCACAATCCAGAAGATGTCCGCCCTGGGACTTCCACTGCTGCCCTCTGTGGAATTATGAGATTTCTCCTATTCTAGTTTCATGATTTTTTCTAAAGACTTACTTATTTTTCTTGGAAAGTCAGATTTACACAGAGAAGGAGACAGAGAGAAGGACCTTCCATCCGCTGATACACTCCCCAAGTGGCCACAACGGCTAGAGCTGAGCTGATCCGAAACCAGGAGCCAGGAGCCTCTTCCAGGTCTCCCATGAAGTTGCAAGGTCCCAAGGCTTTGGGCCATCCTCGACTGCTTTCCCAGGCCACAAGCAGGGAGCTGGATGGGAAGTGTGGAGCAGCTGGGACTTGAACCAGTTTCTATATGGGATCCCAGTGCATGCAAGGCGAGGACTTTAGCCACTAGGCTACTGCACCAGGCCCTTTCATGATGTTTTGATAATGAAAGGCTATTGTGCTGCAATGAACACATATTTTCCTCTTATTCTATAACAATAGCATATTCCAATCATTTTGATATAATGAAGCAAGTTTGCATTCTGGGGATAAATCGCAGTTGGTTGTGGTATGGAGTCCTTTTAATACCTTGTTAGATTTGACCTGCTATTATTTGTTGAGGATTTTTGAATCTGTACTCATTAGATACTGGTTCGTCATTTCGGATTCTGTCTGATTTTGGTGTCAGGGTAAAACCAACCTCATATAACGCTTTGGAAAATGTCCTGTCTTATATGGGAGAATTCATGAACTGCTGATGTTAACGACCGTACACTTTTGATAGATTCGTAGTGACGCTTTGTGCCCTTCAGTTTTTTGTGGGAACATCCGCTTACTAACTCCATCCTTTGTATTCTTATTTCTATTTATTTAAAAGGCAGCGTGTGTGTGTGTGTGCGTGCGTGTGTGTGTGTGTGAGAGAGAGAGAGAGAGAGACAGAGAGAGAGAGACAGAGAGAGAGAGAAAGAGAGATAAAGCAGGGAAGAAAGAGTAGGGGAGAGAGAGAGAATCGGAATCTCCCAGCTGCTAGCGTCCTAACCAAGTTCCTGCAACAGCTGCTTCTTGGCCACATCAAGGCCAAGGGCCACGAACTCCCTCCGGGCCTCCCCGACTGCGGCTGAGAACCAAGCACTTTCCATCAGCACCTGCCTGTCAGGGAGCACATTAGCAGGAAGTTGGGCCGGACGTGGGAGTGGGACTCGAAGCCAGGCACTCTAAAAGGGACGAGGGCCTGACCTGACACACCGCACCTGCCCGTCGCTCCCTTCCACTGAGGCAGTTGTATTCAGACTGGCAGCGTCTACCTCAGGCTGTCTTCCATGTCCTAGGCATGTGTTAATCCCACCCACACTTCCCGATTTCCCAGCACATCGCTTTCCAGTTTGCCTTTTCTCATTGCAAAGTCTGTATAAGGGCAATGGTAATGAGCCATTTCATTCCTCATTTTTAGTGATCTGAGTCTTATTTTCTTGGTCCAAACTAAAGGGGCTGTCAATTTTCATCTTTTCAAAGAACCAATGTTTTATGACATTCATTTTTCTATTCTTTATGTCCTGAGCTCTATTTCTTTCATTCTTCTTGCTTTGTTTAGTTTGTCTAGTTTCTTTGGCTAGAAATTTAGCTTCCAAGACTTTTACATAGTTATATTAGCATATGTAAATTTCCCTCTGAGCACCACTCTGGCAGCATTCTACAAGTATCAATATTCGGGCCTGGCACGGTGGCGCAGTGGCGCAGTGGTTAAGGTTCTCGCCTTGCACGCCCGGGATCCCATATGGGCGCTGGTTCTATCCCAGCAGCCCTGCTTCCCTTCCAGCTCCCTGCCTGTGGCCTGGGAAAGCAGTCGAGGACGGCCCAAAGCTTTGGGACCCTGCACCCGCATGGGAGACCCAGAAGAGGCTCCTGGCTTCGGATCGGCATAGTATCGGCCCGTTGCGCTCACTTGGGGAGTAAATCATCGGACGGAAGATCTTCCTCTCTGTCTCTCCTCTCTGTATATCTGCCTTTCCAATAACAAAATAATAAAAATAAATCTTTAAAAAACATTTTTAAAAAGTATCAATATTCTACTGTTCATTTCCATTTCTACCAAAATACTTTCCTTTATCATTTCTTCTTTAAATCATTTATGAGTGATAATTTCCATGTATTCATCTCCCAAACATATTTCTAGTTTGATTTTTAATTTCATTGCCATTTTGGTTAAAGTGGAAAGTGAACACTGGCAGGCTAATTTGCAAAAGTTGGTGAAATTCGCAAAGTACTTTTATATGTAATTTTCCCAAACTTAAGGGTAACATATCATATTTTTAAACTCCTTTTCTGCACACATATGAAACACAGACTGGAAGCAGAGCTCAGTTCAACTCCAGCTTTGCTTTTTTTTTATTTAAGATTTATTTTTCTTGGAAAGGTGGATTTGTAGAGAAGAGGAGAGACAGAGATGATGTTACATTCGTTGATTCACTCCCCACGTGGCCACAACAGCCAGAACTGCATCAATCCGAAGCCAGGAGCCAGGAGCTTCTGCTGGGTCTCCCATGTGGATGCAGGGTCCCAAGGCTTCGGGCATCCCTCCACTGCTTTCCCAGGCCACAAGCTGGGAGCTGGATGGGAAGTGGGGCTGTCAGAATTAAAACCAGGACCCATATTGGATACCGGCACTTGTAAGACGAGGATTTTAGCCATTAGGCTACCATGCCGGGCCCCAGCTTTGCTTCATAGCAGCTTGGCAACCTAGAACAAAGTAAAGAAGCCCTGTGCCTCAGTTTCCTCATTTGTAAAATGGAGCGCAATGTCTTATCATACGAGTTATTATGAACATTAAGTGTTAAATGCTGAAAACAGATGCCTGGCAGCCCATTCATTATCAACTGTAAGAACTGCTGTTTTGGAGGCCAGCGCCATGGCACAGTAGGCTAAGCCTCCACCTGCAGCACCACAGACTATATGTGGCAGGTTCATATCCCAACTGCTCCATTTTTTTATCCAGCTCCCTACTCATGGCCTGGCAAAACAGTGGAGGATAGTCCAAGTCCTTGGGGGCCAGCACCCACATGGGAGACCCAGAAGAAGCTTCTGGCTCCTGGCTTCCAGCTGCTTCAGCTCCAGCCATTGCAACCATTTAGGGAATGACCCAGCAGATGCCAGATTTCAGTCTCTGTCTCTCCTTCTCTCTGTAACTCTGCCTTTCAAATAAAAGTACAATAAATCTTTTAAAAATTATTATTTTTGAAGTCTTTAGAAACACAGTAGGTGCTTCAGTAGATGAAACAAAAGGCAAGCTTTCTTCTTTGCTTCTATTTTTGCTTTCTTTAACAAAGTAAGAAGTCCAGCACAGAATAAAATTTTCACGGAAAATGAATGGTATTCATTTAACAATACGGAAATCAAATGTGACTTACTTACTCAACAAATATTAACTATGCAGTAAGTTTCAGCACCATGTCACAGACAGGAATAACAAAGACAGTCACACGTGGTCCTTGCCCTCGAAGAGCTGGCGGGCCAGGAGGCTGACAAGCTGGTGATTTCAGCAACACAGAAAGGTTGCGATGCGATGCGACGTGATACAATACAACGCAGTGCAAGGCTGTGACAGGATAGCTCTGACATGATTTCCTCTTTCATTAACTAAATGAATCAAACTAAGACTTGTTTAAAACTTCTCCAAATAAAAGTACCCGAATCATGGAGAACACGGGGATTAGCGTTTCCTGAAAAGCAGGGACTTCCGACCGGTGCGGTTATTTCTTCCACACGTCTTTTGTTGTTGTTGTTTTTAAGACACAGACAGAGCTCGCATCCACTAGCTCAGTTCCCAAACACCTAACAGTCAGGGCTACACTGGACCTGGTCCAGGCTAACGCTGTGAGCCAGAAACTCCCTACAGGTCCCCGAGGGGGCGAGGTCTGCAGCAGCAGCAGCAGCAGCAAGCTGCAATTAAGAGCCACGGCTGGGAGTCAAGCCCCATCACGCCTGAATTAACAGGGCAAACACTCAGCCCACGTACGGGTTTTGACCTGGAAAGTTTTTCCACATATCTTTCATTTGTTATCACTTTGCTTGTATTTTTTTTTCTCCTTTAGACACTTGGGTAGTTGCCAAGGGGGGGGGGGGGAAATGCTTTTGAAATTCTAAGAGTGATTTGCAGATAAACTCACTCTTGGAATATGAACTTGCCAGTTTTGTACACACTGAAAAAGCAGATAACTAAATTTCACTGCATGTTTTTTTTTTCAGAAATCTCAGTCGTAATCCTCTGACCAATATTGAAGATTCCTATCTTTTCAAATTGCCAGCATTAAAATATTTGTAAGTATGAAAATAACCTTCTTTCGCTTCATCAAAAATTAAATACTTTGCATTGAGACTATAGAGTTCTCATTTTAAACTAGGCTAATAAAAAAAAGTTACTGACCAAGATAAGGATTGAGAAAGAACTGATGACAATAAGCCAGCTCGCAGGGGAGGCAGCGTGGCTAGCAGCTGTATGTTAGAAACACACATCTAGAAACATCTGGATGTTAACTGTTCTGCATGAAAATGAAAAGCAAGATAATGGCAAAAAAAAAAAAAGTATAGATTCTACTCTTCAATATCAAGGCTGTTCATTTAATGATACATACAATAGAATTATTTCAACCAGGGCTTCCTGAAACTGTAGCCCGGGACAAACTCTTAAGCTGTCTAGCTTCTCTAAAGCCAAAACGGATGCAATGACATCTTCCCAAACCTAAGGGTGGAGCTGTTCCCGGGGCTCACAGCATGAATTGTCTGGGTTTCTCCTGCAGAGACTTGGGGACCACCCAAGTGACGCTCACCACAGTCGAGAACCTGCTCATGATGACCCTTCAGCTGGAAAGCCTGTGAGTTATCCCGCCTTTGCCTTTACTTTCACGGACTTCTGTAGATTTGGGTTGTTTTTCTTGAAACAGATCCAGTGAGGCTTCCTTTCCATACGTTAAAATTCACACTTTTAATCGCATACAAAGTTTGAAGAGCTTTGGCAAACGTGGGCTGGTGGAGTTACCACCAAATTCCTGACACGCAGCACTTCTAACATCTCAGAGAGGTCCCTCAGGCAGTCCTCCGCTCTCCTCCGCACTCCCTTCAAAGCACCCGATCTGTTTCTAGGTTACCGTTATTATCTACTGCTGGGTAAGACTCCAGTTTGTGGGTGTACCAACACAGCCATTCATCGGTTTATGCAACTGCGTTGTCCAAGTTTTACAATTATAATGCTGCTACAAACGCTCATGGAGAGCTCTCCTTCATGATCACGTCCATTGGTTTCTGCTCCAGCCTCTTCCTCCTCAAGCTCTGGTAGCACCTTCTCGAGCTGAGCTCCTGGGCATTTCCCGTTGCCATCCCCTCCTGAGAGTTAAAGCCCCCTCTCAGCAAGGTCTCCAAGTCAGTCAAGGCCACGGCGCTCTCTGCCTTTCTTCTTGGCCACTGGCGGATAGGGAAAGTGCTAGCGTTCTCTGTAATCCTTTGCAATCATGGCCACAAAAAGATTAAAGCAACTATAATACTGGGGTTTATTACTGGGGGTCCTCAGGAATTTAGACAATTACAAAGTGGGCCAGCAGCATCCCAGGCCCGATTCACCTGCAATGGTCTTCAAAGCATAACTATTCCCCAGTAAGGATAAGCTCCACCTCGGATCTTTTGCAACCGCTAAAGATACACAGATATTTCTTTTAAAAAATAATGATTTCAAGGTGATCACTATTTATATCATCCCCAGTTCATCCACTTTAGTCAATAGTAAAACTATAAAATTTCCCTATGTAAGATGCAGTGTTCCTGCTAAATACACTTCCTAGTGGTGGTTGGGGATTTGGCGTGGCAGGTTAAGCTGCTTGTGATGCTGACACCCTATGCTGGAGTGCCAGTCCGAGTCTCAGCTGCTCTGTCTCATATCCAGTTCCCTGCCCTAGAACCTCTGCCAACCAGCTAACAAACCAGAATGGAGTTCCAGGCTCAATCCTAGGCCCTGTGGCACTCTGGGGCACAATAATATTATAATACATATTACCTTTAAAAAGAGTCTTATCTCTTCCCCCTCATTCTTTCTCTTCTGTCCTGTCATTCTGAGTTTCAAATAAATTAAAGTTTTAAAAACCTTAGCCATTTAAAAAAAAAAAACTTTCCCTCCCTGGTGGTTACATTTACAAAATCAAATGGAGGTACATTCCACACAGCAAGTAGGAAGGCAATGGGAAATGGCCCAGATGCCTGAACCCTTTGCCACCAATGGAGAGAGACTGACAACACTGCTGGCTCCCGGCCTCAACCCAGACCACTAGCCAAGGAGAGACCCTGACAACACTGCTGGCTCCCGGCCTCAACCAGGACCACCATTCATTCTGGGAGACCCTGACAACACTGCTGGCTCCTGACCTCAACCATGACCACCATCCATGGAGAGAGTCTGACAACACTGCTGGCTCCTGGCCTCAACCACGACCACCACTCATGGAGAGACCCTGACAACACTGCTGGCTCCCGGCCTCAACCAGGCCCACCATCCATTCTGGGAGACCCTAACAACACTGCTGGCTCCTGACCTCAACCCAGACCACCACTCATGGAAAGACCCTGACAACACTGCTGGCTCCCGGCCTCAACCAGGGCTACCATCCATTCTGGGAGACCCTGACAACACTGCTGGCTCCTGACCTCAACCTGGACCACACAGAGTGACATGGACATTTGGGAAGTGAAAAATACTAACAACAAATAATAATAAATCTTTTTTTTTTTAATTCAAAACCATCAGAAAGAGTAACGAATAGCACAAAAATACAATGCAATTGAAACCCAGGCCCTTCAGTATGGGCTGTAGACATCCCAAATTGCTCACACTTCACATGAACTCAACTGTTAACTTTCCTTCCTGCCTTTCCTCTCTTGCTCCTTCCTTCTCTCTTTCTCTCCTTTCCTTCCTTCATTTCCTCTTAGCCTGGTCCCAGAGATGTTTAATCGGATTAACAGAGATGTTAATCCAGAAGGTTTGGTTGACACAGCAAATAATGTGTGATATAACACACACACATATATGCTTACATATATATACTATACATATCACAGCAATGGGAACATAGCCATAAAAACAAATAACAAAATCTTTTTTTAAACTCCACTACCTAAAGTTGGTTCTTAAAATAACTTTGGCTACAGCTTTGGTTTTTTTTTTTTTAAGAAGATTTATTTATTTTTATTGGAAAGGCGGATACACAGAGAGGAGGAGAGACAGAGAGGAAGATCTTCCATCCGATGATTCACTCCCCAAGTGACCACAATGGCTGAAGCTGAGCCAACCCAAAGCCAGGAGCCAGGAGCTCTTCCAGGTCTCCCATTTGGGTACAGGGTCCCAAATCCCTGGGCCATCCTCGACTGCTTTCCCAGGCCACAGGCAGGGAGTTGGATGGGGGGAAGCGGGGCTGCCAGGATTAGAACCGGCTCCCATATGGGTTCCCAGTGCAGTCAAAGCAAGGACTTTAACTGCTATACTATTGTGCTGAGCCCGGCTACAGTTTGGGTTTTTTTTTTTTTAAGATTTTATTTTATTTTTATTAGAAAGCCAGATATACAGAAAGGAAGAGAGACAGAGTAGAATATCTTCTGTCTGTTGATTCACTCCCCAAGCAGATGCAACAGCCAGAGCTGAGCTGATCTGGAGCCTCTTCTGGGTCTCCCACAAGGCTGCAGGGTCTCAAGGCTTTGGGCTGTCCTCGACTGCTTCTCCAGGCCACAAGCAGGGAGCTGGGTTGGGAAGTGAACCCGCCAGGATTAGAACCGTCATCCATATGGGTCCTGGACATGCACGGCAAGGACTTTAGCTGCTAGGCTACCGTGTCGGGTCCTAAACTTATATCTATTTGCAATTCTTGCCTCTCAATGCCTCCTTGTTCTCCCCAGTTCTCATGTAACACAGACTTTCCTTCCATTACTAAGGGCTAATCTGCATTTTCTGTAATTTTATGTAAATAGAACCATACTTTTCTAACAAGTTTCTGTCACTCAACATTATTAAAACATTCCTGGGCCCGGCACGGTGGCGCAAGTGGTTAAGGTCCTCGCCTTGCACGCCCGGGATCCCATATGGGCGCCGGTTCTAATCCCAGCAGCCCCGCTTCCCATTCAGCTCCCTGCCTGTGGCCCAGGAAAGCAGTCGAGGGCGGCCCAAGGCTTTGGGACCCTGCACCCTGTGGGAGACCCAGAAGAGGCTCCTGGCTTCGGATTGGCATAGCATCGGCCGTTGCGCTCACTTGGGGAGTGAATCATCGGATGGAAGATCTTCCTCTCTGTCTCTCCTCTCTGTATATCCGCCTTTCCAATAAAAAAAAATAATAAAAAAAAAAATCTTTAAAAAAAAACATTCCTGACTAATGGTTGTTTTGTTAATGATAGACCATAATTTACCAACTCATCTATTGGTGGATACTGGGTTACTACAATTTGGGGATATCAAAAATTAAGCTATCATGAGAGCAGGCATTTGGTGCAGTGGTTAAGCCATGGCCAGAATCCTCAAATCCCTCACCAGAGTGCCTGGGTTCAGGCTCCAGCTCGGCCCCCAAGCCCTGTGAATGCGCACCCAGGACCCCAGCCCTGGATTTGGCTTGAAAGGCAGAGTTACAGGGAGGAGAGACAGCGATCTCTCCCCTGGTCCACTCCCCAAATAGCCACAACATCCAGAGTTGGACTGGTCTGAAGCTGGGAGCTTCTTCCAGGTGTCCAATGCAGGTGCTGGGCCCCCAAACCCAGACCATCCCTTACTACTCCCGCAGGCCACAAGCAGGCAGCTAGATCAGACAATGGAGCACCTGAGACACCAACTGGTGCTCATATTGGATGCGAGCACCACAGATGGGGAGTATTAGTTAGCTGAATCTCGGTACCAGGTCCTCTGTGCCTTTCAAAGAAATCTTTGAAATAATAAATCTGAAAAGAAGTCCAAACACTTTGACAATTCCTTAAAAACAAAAAACGCCCCTAGCCTAGGTTCCAGCCATTATATTTTGGGTACTTCCTGAGGTACCCCTTCCCCATCTCAGGGCACTCACTGGCAGGAAGTGGGAATCGGAAACGGAGCCGGGCACTCCAGCACGGGATACCCGTGACCCAAGCCGCATCTTCATTGTGGGCCAAACAGCTGCTCTCGCCAAAGCACTTTCACTCCCTCCAGCAAGGATGCTTTTGTTCTCCACGTTTTTTTCCAACAGTTACGATAGGGCCAGAGTAGTTCCTAAGACTGCACACTCCAAACACGGATTAAGAAAGGAAAAGGACCCCAGAGCTTCGGGGAGGTCCTCCTGTGCACGCCCAAGCCCAAGTGAGACTTCCAAAGTGGATTACTCCTAAATTAACCAACAAATCGGTGACACCAAATACACACCACACCCAGTGTCCCGCACACCCTGCTAGAGGGCACTCCCCCTCCTTCCTTCCTTCCTGGCAACATTTCAGAGCAGCAACTACCCATCACACACCTGCCCACATAGCTCCACAACTCCTCCATCAAAGGGGCTGGCCTCTTGGACCCTCTCTCAAATCACCCCTTTAGAACTCACGCAAGTCTCTGTGTTTCCGTTTCTAGGATCTTACCTAGCCGTTTGGCCTGCTGCCTCTGCCAATTTAAAAACAACATTGAAGTGGTCTGCAAGACAGTCAAGCTGCACTGCGACAGCGAATGTCTGGCAAATGCTACGCGTTGTCGTGAGTTTCAACTACCTGACGGTCATTTTTTTTTAAGTTTTAAATTTCTTTAAATTGAGAATCAATGTTTGGAATAATAATGTAATCATTTTTATTCACCCATTCCGATTTGAACTCCCTACATTGCTAGACTACTCCCTTGCTCAACGTCGGGCTCTGGGTCACTGCTGTAGAATTAAATAAGTCACTTGCGTACGCATAAAGAACCTGAAAAAGAAGTGGAAATGGAAGGCAGTAACATCAGTGGCCGCAGACATGGTGCCCTCTGCTTTGCGGTGCTTTGCTTTTCAATGATTAACTCATTTGTATGCTGCTGGGTTGATGCTGAGCCTCAAGCACCCACTGTCTTCCAGGACAGTTCTCCATCACCCGGTTTAATTGCTTGTTCTCACAGTTGTATCATAGAATACGAGCGATGCTGCTTTGTCCACAGCCTGAGAGTTTCTAGTTGCATAATCACAAATGGCTGCCTGGTTCTTTGGATGGGGCCGAAGGCTTTTCCATTCATAAATTGTTCCACTCTGAACACTCAGGTGCCTTTGGTGGTGTCCTGCCTGTCGGGGAACTGCCAACTGGCTTTGTGACTGCCTTCTTCTCTAGCCAGCTCGGCTGCAGGTCTCCATCTCTGTTTTCCATCAGTTATATTGCTCCCTGCAGGAGGAGTATTTTGGATCTACTTTGGTGGGAAAAATCCACACCGAGATGAAGAGTGGGGCCCTGGTTTGCATTTCAGCATTTCAGTGCTCACTCCTCTCTTCCGGATGTCTGTGGTCGTGGACACCTGCCGTGGCCACAACAACACAGGTCCCCGGAGGGCTGCTAGAGGAAGCAGGAGGCAGGACAGTGGGACAGCATGGTTGTCAGGCAGGGGAAGACCCACAGAAAGGCCAGCTGTATCTTCTGGCCTTCAGCTTCCTCCGACTACTGAGCTTTGGCTATTGGAAAGCAATAAAATAATCCGAAACACAGCTACTGTCTTTTACACTATCGATTTTGTAACTGTCATGCTTTGAAAACTAGCTTTTTCCTCCTTTTGGGGGGATGGTGAAGGGGAGTGGGTTGTCATTTTCTAGGCTTAAGTTTGGGTTCCTTTTTCCCTGTAAAGGAGAAATGATAGCCAAATATTACGTTTGGCTCCTAACTCCAGGATATAAGACTCTAGCCTGGCATACATACCGCTTCAGTTATCAAAAAGCAGTCTCTTCTTTTGACAGTTGAAGAAGCATCGATTGGAAATCCAAAGGGAACATTCATGAAGATACTGCAGGCCCGGAAGACCAACACTAGCAAGGAGTTGATTATTGAGCCAGAGAACCTGTTATCAGGAAAAATTAGCATGGACCTTCAAGGCTCCATAAACGAACTGCAAGGCTTAACCAGCGAAAGTGATGTTCTTGGCTCACTACGTTACATTCTGCCTTACTTCTCGGAGGAAAATCTGCAAAATGTAGAATCAACCTTACTACCCCTCATTAAGTTGCTTTTCTCAGATGGGCAAGAAAGAAACAAGTCCCTCAGCCTTGTGAAAAGCCACTTCAGGAAGCCCTTTCCTTACAAAAACAAACGGAAAAAGCTCTATTTCCTCGAAAAAATGCAGCAAAAAACAAATCAGGCTAAAAAAGAGAAAAAAACCGCCAAGTTCATGCAGCCTATCCTGTTAGGTCCCAAATTTGAGCGTCCCGTTTTCCTAAGGAAATCAGAAACTGCCCCATCGGAGGAGAGCAGCCTGGAGGCCATTCCAGGCGTAGGGCAAAGGATGCAGAGGGTGAAAAAGATCATCAAGGGGCCAAAGGGCTTGCGGAAAAGGCGCCGGCAGCAGAGGCAGATGCAGGGCCTCAGCAGGAGGCAGAGCACACAGGGGTCTGTGGAGAGCCTGACCCAAGGCAGGCTGCGAGGAGCAGACCCCCGCACGTTGCAGGAGCTTCCTGCACCGCAGCAGCCCCGGGAGCTGGAGGGAAACGGCTTCCACAGGGAGTCCTTGCTCACCAAGCAGCACAAGGTCAAAGTCTCCTCTTTCCTCAAAAAATATATTAACAGCAGGTCCTCTGTCCCCTCTGACGAATCTCTCTCCAAGGCCAAAAAGAAAGAAAAAGTCTTAACCGACACCATTTTTGTTTTAGAAGATGCCAACGCCAGAACAAAAAACGAGCTTGGGAAACCAATCTCCCGTGCCCGGCGCGTTCATAAAACTCGCTCTCATCCGGTCCTCGGGACTGCCAAAGCCAAACCGAGCCACAAGTTCAGAAGAAAAAATCCCTTCCACAGGCTGCGGTCTGCCAAGAGGCCTCCGTTCCCCGCGCTGCGGAGCCTCATCAACTCCCCTGCACGGGAGGAATTCCCGTCTCCAGGGGACCTGAGTTCCCAGGGAAACCCCTTCCCAGAACCTTCTGTAGAAAACACTGGTGAAAAAAACCATCTTGTGGGAAACGATTTCGAAGGAAGCATGTTAGGAGAAAACATGACAGTGTCTGAAAGCACGTTCAGCAGCAACACCATCCTTGAGAATCCCTTAGTTGCAGATCCTGCTGGGACCATGTTCAAGTTAACGCCGACTCTCGAACAAGCCGACGAAGCAAACTGGCAATACCCCAGCCTGGACCCTGGAGCCCCCACCATGCCCAAAGATGTCACCTACCCTTTGCTGTTACCCAAGGGGGATCAGCTTGAAATCCAGCTAAACCAGCAGCTACAGTCCCTCATTCCCAACAGCGACGTGAGAAGGCTCATCTCTAAAGTTATCCGGACTCTGAAATTTGACTGCTCGGACCCCCGTGTGAAATTATCCTGCGCCAAGCTCATCTCCATGACAGGCATCCTGATGAAGCTCCTCAGCGAGCAGCAGGAGGAAGACGCGGCCAAGGAGCAGTGGGACATAGACCGATGGAGAACCGACACTTACATCAACGACAGCGAGGAAGCCCCGACTCAGCAGAAGGAGCAGAAGCCGGAGGAGGTGAGGACTCGGCGACACGGGAGGCCCTCACTTCTCCATCGTTCAGGAGATGCTCCTCACGCACGCCTCGTCTTGCTAGGGAAGGAGTCAGACCTCACCCACATGATCAATTGTAGAAGAAAAAGAATAACATTGCTATTATGTAATGCATTCGATTTGATACGTTCTTTTTTAAAAAAAATTTATTTTTATTGGAAAGGCAGATATACAGAGAGGAGGAGAGACAGAGAGGAAGATCTTCCGTCCGATGGTTCACTCCCCAAGCGGCCGCAATGGCTGAAGCTGAGCCAATCCGAAGCCAGAAGCCAGGAGCTTCTTCCGGGTCTCCCACGCGGGTGCAGAGTCCCGAGGCTTTGGGCCGACCTTGACTATCTTCCCAGGCCACAGGCAGGGAGTTGGATTGGGGGGAGGGAAGCGGGACAGCCGGGATTAGAACTAGTGCCCATATGGGATCCCGGTGCATTCAAAGTGAGCACTTTAACCGTGACGCTATGGCGCCGGGCCCAGATTTGCTATGTTCTTTTAAAACCTTTCAAGCCAGTGACCTGGAAGAATGAGGTTTGGCATCGTCGACATATTTTCTCTCTCTCTTTATCATGTTAAACTGTGCTGTTTTTTTTAGCTCAAAACAGAAGTTCCAGCACACGTGAATCACAGCAAACTCATCCTGGCAATATCTGTGACGGCGGTTGTTATGCTACTGGTGATCATCTTCTGTCTCATTGAGGTAAGGGCAGATCGTTTAGATTCCAGACAATATCTTTATCATAGATTCAGAATGCTCAATCTGAGCATCAAAGCCACTTGCCCACATGCTACTTCTCAGCGTTTCTCTTTGTCTAACCGGAAATGTGCTTCATTCTTTCCTTGAAAAGTGCATTCCAGGGCTTTTTTTTAAAAAAAAAAAAAAAAAAAAAAACATTTATTTTTATTTCCGAAGTGGTTAGGGAGAGAAGGAGAAACAGAGATCTTCCTTCCACTCCCCAAATTTGGCTGCAATGGCCAGATCCGGGCCTCTCCTGGAGCTTCTTCCGGTTTCCCCCATGGGCACTGGGGTCCAAGCACTTGGGTCATCCCGCACTGCTCTCCCACGCACAACAGCCGGGAGCTGGAAGGGAGATGGAGCGGCCCATCTGAGATGCCAGCACTGCAGGCAGAGGCTCTCTAACCTTTTCAAACATTCCGTTGTTGTTGTTGTGTAGGTCTCCTTACCAGGCGACAACTGGTCCACCTTTGTAAAAGGCTTTTGTAGAATCTGAATGAGGTCGCACTGCATTTATAGCTTACTTTGAAGAGAACGGACACCCTCCACAGTGTTCTAGAAACGTGACATCTTACGGCCCTCACACAAGCTTTAGCGTTCTTATCACATAAGGATGGCACAGTTCTGTTAGGTTTACTCCAGGGCTCCTGTGCCCTTTTACTGTTTCCACAAAAGGACGTGCCTCCATTTTCCCTTTAGCCATCGGTGGCACGCAGCAAGCCCTTGTGAGTTAATGCTGATCTCTTGTCGGGGCACGCAGTCACCTTCCCAGATTCACACATGACTCCCAACAAAGAGTTAGCCCGTGACCTTGGCATTCACAAGTCGTCCCCCATCTCATAGGCACTTGGTGACAGCCTTGCCTCCTCATTAGCGCACTGACTTCCGCCGTCTCAACAGCGATGAATAACAGTGGTCTAACAAGTACCCCTGCTCTTGCTGTCAGCTTTAATAAAACAGCACTTTCATCAAATGGAGGATCCTTCCTCCTTTTCCTCTTTTAAGAGGATTTATTGAGAATTAGCCGTTGAATATTAAAAAGCAGTCAACAGACTGTATGAAGCCCCGAATGCTTGCAAGACCCTAAGCCAAGTACTGTGAAAGATTAAAAGAGCCATTAACAAGATAGAATTGCTATCCTCAAAGAAAAGATTTCTCTTTCTGGGCATGTGAGATTTTTCCAAAAAAAAGAATGTAAAAGGTTGGAGACAGTGTGGTGCCGGTGGATAATGACTGTGTGTGTCTTTACAAAAACAGATTTACTCTCACAGAGCGACAGCAGAGGAAGATATAGAAAAATCTTCATCGTAAGTATCAGTCTGACCATTTTTAAATTACAGGTTTATCCACTGAATTTGAACTGTGGTAACACAGCAAGGTGGAGAAATCCACCATGGGGAGAGGGTTCAGGGAGGGGTGGGGGGAACCCCAGTGCCCATAACACTGTGTCACATAATGCAATGTAATTAATACTAAATTACAGGTTTAGAATTAGAGGGGTATTTAGACTCATACACAGTCTTCTTTTTTTTTTAAGATTTATTTATTTATTGGAAAGTCAGATATACAGAGAGGAGGAGAGACAGAGAGGATGATTCACTCCCCAAGTGAGCGCAACGGCCGATACTATGCCAATCCGAAGCCAGGAGCCAGGAACCTCCTTCAGGTCTCCCACACGGGTGCAGGGTCCCAAGGCTTTGGGCTGTCCTCGATTGCTTTCCCGGGCCACAAGCAGGGAGCTGGATGGGAAGTGGAGCTGCCGGGATTAGAACTGGCGCCCCTATGGGATTCCGGCGCGTTCAAGGCGAGGACTTTAGCCGCTAAGCCACGTCGTCGCTGGGCCCTACAGTCTTCTTTTACACTGAGGAAGTTGCCAGAGGCGGGAGACTGTTCGTCCTCATGTCTGCCTGCCTCCAGCAGAACTGAGATGGGATGAGCAGCTCCCTTCTGGAAAAGGGTTAGGGAAGGCAGCATGGTAACGGGGACAGCAGGAAAACATGCAAGTCATTCCTAACATGGCAGGAAAATTTACCTTCTCATCTTACCGGTTTTCACACCTCTCTCCTTCTCTTTACACTTTTTAGGGTTTTAACCGGAGACAACGTTTAGACAGCAGTTCGCCTCTCTTTCCTCGCCATAAGTGGGGAAAGCAAAGCAGAAAGAGACAATATCTTGCCCCATTTTCCCACTCCCGGTGTTCCTCAGCAGTTGGGGGGTCCTCCTCCCTTGACCACTCCGAGCTTGGGCTGTGTGCTGCACACACACCTGGCAGACGCCAGTAGAGTTCCAGAAACAAGGAACTCTGTTCTGTTCGTATTCCAAGAGCACCTTGTGTTTGAGGGCTAGCTTTGTTCCGGCAACTGACTTCACAACTCGGTCTCCTGTCAGCAACAGGTGTGAAAAATCTAGGAGTCAAACAACTTGGGTTTGACCCAAGCACTGCCTAACATGATTCAATCTGTAGGGGATTACAACAACTATGCAAATAGAAGCATCTGTCCCTTAACCTCCCCCCACTGTCCCACTCCCCAGTGACTGACCGCATGTGAGGCTTGGTGTCAAGTGTCTCCCACCCGGTGTGGATGCGCGGTTTGTTTCCTGCACACGGGCTCCTGCCTAGGAAAGGAGTTGGGTCGACAATGAACAGTCCCACCAGAGACAGCACAGGGCTCTTTCTGGCAGAGGGCCCTGGCAAGCCCCACACAAGGGGGAATCACTTTCACCATCCCAGGCCTAGTAAGACCAGAGAGATGTGCATCATGGGAAGTGGAAAGTGGCACAAATCTCTAATCGCTTTGTATGTTTTTCCTCTAGGGGTCTTTCCCAACGATCGTCTAGGACACGCTCAAAGACTGAGGTAAACTTGTGGAGCATGCGGAGTGTGGCTTGGAGAACCCAGGGAAATGCAAAATTCACATTTCCTTTTTTCTCTTTTCTAGGGCTTCTTCGGGCTAAGGTGGCTCCTCCCGCTGAAGCGTCTGTTCAGGTCTTTTGGTGCCAGACGCAAGAAAGCCAAGGACTCGAAGACCCCAGAGAAGACTGAGAAGGAAGAGTTTTCCGATACGGATGCTGGGTAAATGACAGGGCTTCTAACTCCCTTCCCTGGATGAGGAGGCGGGCCGAGGGACCAGGCTGAAGGTCTTCCTGGGTTCTCTTTCCACAGAGAGCTCAGCGAGGTTCCTGCTGAGAAGACGACCCCTACCGAGTCCGCGGCTGAAGGCGAAGGCGAGGAGAGCCAAGTCCCGGAGGACTGAATCACCGATTTTGTTTTCTAATATTGGCATTATAATCACTTATAAAACAATTATTTCCTTATATCCGTGTGTGTGTGTGTGCGTGATATAAGCAAATCTAGCCACATTCTAAAATATTTAAATAGGCTTAAATATTTACATGCAAGTAACAAGGCTCAGAGGCAAGAGACGCCCCAGATGGAGACAGTCCTCTTCAAGGGCATCTTGACAAAGGACAGCGAGCAGCTCTCAGCTCACTCCCCGCACGGGGTAATTCTCTGAGCATCTGAACACACATCCTCCTCCGTGCTCTCTCTCCCCTGGTTCACGGAGAACCAGGCATCTGCCACAGAAGAGGACCTGGCCTCCTGCTGCCAGAGGGGCCCCTCTCTGGGATCACAAAACCTCCCTACCCTGTGCGGCTAAGTCCTGCCTTTCTTCCCAATCTCACAAAATCTTATACGATGTGTCTCCCGTCTTCATCAGAGTTCTCCGGGCACCAGCCCAGGTTACTGCCCAAAGTTGCTCACTGGGAACCAAAAACACTCACGCAAACCTGAGTCGGAAATGTAAGACTACTGGACAGCAGTAGTCACTACCATTTATGACTAGCTTACTTGATGCCAAGCCCTGGGACAGGCATGGACATGCCTGCAAAATGATTTATCCCGAAATCATTGGAAGCATACTTTTAGTTGTTGTTATTATTTGATAGAAAAGGAAACAGGGCTCAAAATATGTAGGTGATCTGCCCAAGATTGCACACCCAACCAGGGCTGCCTGCCCGCAAGGCAACAGAAGAGATTATCACACTGTCGGTGCACTGAGTTCCAGCTGCAGCCAGGCACGGCACTGGGGATGTGGGCCCCACCTACCAACCACAGGACGGAAACGCTTCCCCACTGGCCACATTCCAGCACTGGAAAAAGGTGGGTTTATTTGAATAGATGTTGGATGTTAACAGGGAACTGACAAGAAATCATAAATAGAGACCCTTTTACTTAGTGAGCGTCCCAAAGTGTAGGTGGAAATTCCATGCACCAGCAGGTTTCTACTTTAGCACATGCATAGTATTTATAATCAGGCTCACAATGTGAAATTCTATGTAATACTATTTCAAATCATGTAATTATTATTCTCAATGATAAAAAAAGTCCACCATATTTCTAGTAGTAATTTTGTGTATGTCAACATTACTTTGCATTCACATATTTGATCATCTGAAAAACACACTGCAACATTCTGTTATTTAAAGTATATTACCTTGTATCATCTTGCTAAAGTTCCCATATTAGAGTAACTAAGGACTAGGCTAGTGCTCCAGAATCAATAGGTCGGCAGGGTTGATTTCTTCGAAGACCTCTCTCCTGGGCTTGGCTCCCATCTCCCAACCAAAACTCCCAAGACTGAGTCTGTGGAATGCTACTCAGCCATTGAAAACAATGAAATTCTACCATTTCCAACAATACGGTCCCAATTAAGAGATCATCACGCTCTACCTGCCCGCTGTTGAGTGTTGTACTGACCTATGACAAGACTGGAGGGTCTAACTGGCCTTCTAGCCAATTACGGTGCCATTGTTGGGTGGAAGGGCTGTCTTCCCCTTTCTTAGTCCATATAAGCTTGTGATTGTTTTGCAATAAACAAACATGTTCTATCAAAAAATAAAAGAGAGAATTATGCTCTCTTGGACGGGGACCCGGTATGTCCAGTGTGGTCTTTGTGAGATTCCGTCATGGCGTACCGGGGCCAGGGCCAGAAAGTGCAGAAGGTGATGGTGCAGCCCATCAACCTCATCTTCAGATACCTGCAAAATAGGTCTCGCATTCAGGTGTGGCTGTGTGTGAGCAGGTGAACATGATGAATACATGAACCTCATACCAGATGATTCATTCCAAATGAATGAATGATCAGAAGAGATTCATTCTAACACAAAGTCAAGAAAAACAACCGGGTCGGACCATGCTAAGAGGAGGTATCACTCTCCCACAGAGTGTCTCCAACTAGAAATGATGAATGAAATGAGAAATTATTGAGAGGGTAACGCTGTGTTTTTATTTATTAGGTGGCCTTTTACTGGGAATGTAATTCGGAAACGCTTGTTCATAATGTTTTGATTTTTATTAAAAAGTTGACACTGTTACAAAAAAAAAAAGAGGTCATTACGCTCAACAAAATAAGCCAATCCCAAAAGAACAAATATCCCATGTTCTCTCTGGATAAGGCAACCCTCACGCCAAGCACAAGACCAACAGATATACAGGCAAACATGTATACACATATATTGATCTAGAAGAAGCGGATAACGGAGACTAGCATACCGAGAAGTAAGGGTACACTGCAGAATGCTACTGCAGATTAAAATGGACTTTCAGTGAAACCGTCAGATATATCTCTACAACAGGACACCGGGCTTTCTCCCACTGCCTACGCCTACTATGTCACGATGCAGTTAAATAGGATGAAGGATTTGGGGCTGCTGCTGAAGGCCCACACTAGCATAATACAGAAGAGAACATTCAGGGCAAAGGGCCATACGGAGGGGTGGAAGGGGAAATCTCTGTGCCTATGGAACCGCATCATGAAAAAAACAAAAACCCATTTAAGTCTGTTTTGCTCAACTTGCTCTAGTCGAACAGGTTTTGTGTCCTAGCCTAGAATCTGGCCAGCCTAAGGATGATCTTTTTCTTGACTGCCCCCGCTGTAAGCTGGAAAGGAAGAGAGGAAGCCAAGATCAGGTGTCACACAACAGGGCCGCCTCTGCCTCCATCTGCTGACAGGCAAGCCGTAGTTCAAAAGACCTGCTCTGTCTTGGGCCCGGCGCGATGGCGCAGTGGTTAAGGTCCTCGCCTTGCACGCCCGGGATCCCATAAGGGCACCGGTTCTAATCCCGGCAGCCCCGCTTCCCATCCAGCTCCCTGCCTGTGGCCCGGGAAAGCAATCGAGGACAGCCCAAAGCCTTGGGACCCTGCACCGGCGTGGGAGACCTAGAAGAAGCTCCTGGCCAGCTCTACTTCCCATCCAGCTCCCTGCCTGTGGCCCAGGTTGGGACCCTGCACCCTGGCTTCAGATCATCGGCCGTTGCGCTCACTTGGGGAGTGAATCATTGGACGGAAGATATCCGCCTTCCCAATAAAAATAAAATCTTAAAAAAAAAAAGACCTGCTCTCGTCTGAGGCCTGCATGACAGGCGAGCCAAGGTCAATGCCATGACATGAATGAAACTCACTGGTTCCTAGAAAGCTGTCAGACAGAGAGCACATGAGGCAGTGGGCAACTACGAAAGAGCAGGCACAGAAAAGAAGTCGTGTTTCAGAGAAGGAGAGGCTGAGTGGCCGAGACAGTGTGTGTGAAACAAAAGGAACTTGTTCTGGGGAAAGACTGCCAACGTGACAGCAGGTGCATGCGAACAGGAGGCTGGGCTTCCAGCTGAGCAGGAAGAAGTAGAGGCCAGCGATGCAGATGTGAAGGGGAAGAAAGAAGTCGTTTTACTTGCCAGGAGGAAGCAGAAGCATTCTCCTGGGAAGACAGCACACAGGCCAAGACACACTGGAGTATGTGGGGCTGCTGCTCGGGAGCACGAAGTGTAAGGAGTGAAAACGGTTCATGGTCCTGTACAAGCGATAGGCCCGGTCATGAACTTGGCCAAACAAGCAGAGAGAACACTCGACCATGCTTCAGTCTTACCACAGTGCAGGTGGCCTAAGAAGAGGTGAACCAGGCAGCCCACACAAAGCAGGAAGCTGGGATAATGCGTCAAACACGAAGCCTGGGTCTTCCCTTTCAGACGACTGGCAGATACCCAGCACAACAGAAAAATGGGCTCCCCTTTCCAGCAACATGGTTTCCACCATTAACCAGTACGCATGGATGGTGGCCTGCAGGTGTTCTCGATCCCTTTAAACATAATGCATTTCAAGGCAGGCACTTTCTACACGTACTGTTTGGCCTAAATGCTCCTCTGAAAACTAAGGGGGCTCAGTCTGCTCTTCCATTGTTCTGGTTACACAGCTTCTCCCAAAACGCTAATTTACATATGTACGATTTAGTGTTAACGTTCCCTTCATGGGACACGGAGTCCAGGGAAACCTAGGGGTGCACAGGCATGGCAAGCACTACAGCGCTGAGGCGATGTGGAACCCAGAGCCAAAACCTATAACGCAGGCGTCATTATAGCAGCTCAGAGCCTCTCAATTCTGTTTGCCTCAGACAGGCTCTTCAGTGGCGTGTCCTCACGGCGTGACAGCTGGCTCCCTTCACAGTGAAGGGTCATGCACAGAGCAGCCCAGCCTCAGAAGCACAGGGATTACTTCTGCCACTCAGCACAGTTGCAGGTCAATCACTCCATCTCTTGAGGAGAAAGATTAAAGAATCTGGGGCCCAGCAGCGTGGCCTAGTGGCTTAAGTCCTCGCCTTGAACGCACCAGGATTCCAAATGGGCACCGGTTCTAATCCCGGCAGCTCCACATCCCATCCAGCTCCCTGCTTGTGGCCTGGGAAAGCAGCCGAAGGACGGCTTGAGACCCTTGAGACCCTGCACCCAGCCTTGAGACCCTGCACCCATGTGGGAGACCCGGAGAGCAGGTTCGTGTCCCGGCTGCTCCACTTCCCATCCAGCTCCCTGCTTGTGGCCTGGGAAAGCAGCCGAGGACGGCCCAAAGCTTTGAGACCCTGCACCTGCTTGGGAGACCCTGGGGAAGCTCCTGGCTCCTGGTTTCGGATCGGTGCAGCACCGGCTGTTGCGCTCACTTGGGGAGTGAACCAGTGGATGGAAGACCTTCCTCTCTGGCTTCCTTCTTTCTGTACATCTGACTTTCCAATAAAAATTAATAAATCTAAAATTTTAAGTTTTAGGATACTCTTCAGTATCGATCATAATTACAGAACTAAATATCACAAGGGCTCACTGTAAACAAATCAGAATTACTCTTGGCCCTAAAAACAATCTTCTAAAACATGTATGTGTCATAGTTATCACGCGGAATTAAACCATTACCAAACACATGAAAGGTGATCCTTATACTTCAAGCACAGAAACAGCCAACATCCAAAAATGCAAATAAATACTAATAATTAAAATTA